AGATGTGGTGCTGATAGGGTTTCTCTGCTGCAATTCGGACCCCACATTTCTGCTCGGCATTGCTCTAGTGAAGGCTGTCTGCAGTGACTCCGTCCCTGCAACAGATCTCTTCCTGGGTCCCCAGACTTTTCCATACATCCTTTGAAATCTGGGTGGATGCTCTCAAGCCTTCCTAGCTCTGGCATTCTGAGAGCCTGCAGACCTAAGACCACATGGATGCTGCCAAGGCTTCCAGCTTGTATCTTCCAAAGCTGTACCTCCAGCCACACCTGGGGGCCAAGGTAGCCATGGCTGGAGCAGCCAAAGCAACTGGGGTGCTGGAAGCAGCTTCTCAAGGTGACTGTGGGCATCGAGCCCATGGAGGGCACCTCAGGCCTGTTCCCCAAGACCATTCTGCCACCCTAGGCCTTTGGGCCTGAAATGGAAGGGTTGATCCCAGAGGCCTTGTTTCTATTTTTAAGAAAGGTTTAAGTGTGGTTCCAGAAACACACATTTTGGGCATCTATTTCACTCCACTTATTGATGCAGAATTTAATATCTGGCTTAGATTCTGAACATAAGAAGGAGAAATTTAATAAGTGCACTTCTATTACTTATTGTCTCTGACTAGGACACCTAAGTGTATCAATCTTTCCTCTTAAACCTTTTTCTTCATTTTCCACTTCCTGTTCCTCGCCCTACAAATAAAGTGGACTCCCGAACCTCCTGAACTCCCAAGACTTCTGTTTAATTTACATACTCACTTTTGTTGGTAAGGTTCCTTCAGGGGAATAATTATAATTTTCTTTTAAACCTGCCATGCATGAACTCTAAAGTGCTCAAGGTGTTTAATAAATATTTCACTGTACTAAAAAAGGGGTAAGCACATAAGCAATCCTCAGTCTACAAACTATAAAGATATTATTTGAGATGACTTCTTTGCCAATAGCGTCACCGATATCATAAATTTCTCTCCATGACTTGCAGGAGCCATTTTCTGCAATGGCCAGACTTTGTCACTGCCCATCCCCATTATAGCAAATGCCATCAACTATGGGGCCTTCAAAGTATACACAGGAGTAATAGCCCTTGTCCTTAACCCCACAAACACATAATTAGCTGGTCACTTTAATCATATGCTATCATGTATTGTTTGCTAATAATCCCTTAGACATTATTTCTGTCCAAACAAAAAAGAATTAACAAATTCCAAATGTAAATGTCATCTTCTGCTTCAACCTTCCTCCCTCCCCCGCACCCCGCAATTTCACAAATTATTTACCAAAACTTGAAGTAAAAGCACGGTCTGAAATCCAAAAACTGCCTTTACTGTGCTTTACAAATACGTATTCTTCACCGAACTGTAGTTGCTGTGAAACTTAATATATTTAATTTCTTTCCTAAAATACCAAAAGCAGATGCCAAACATAATGCCGCTAATTGGCAAATAAACGAAACACAAATCTTGCTCCCTTCCACTGAAATTTTTTATGGCCATCAGATCTCCGCGTAAAACGTTTAGTTCCTATAACCGTTACGAATAAAACACACGATTCTAAATTTCAACACGTTCCAAGTCTCAGCAAATTCCCAAAGTCATTCTTTTCTTAGGTTGGTGTGATGAGTAATTTTTAAAATGTCAACTTAAAAAACGGGGCAGGAAGCCCTGGTGTCTGTAGAGAAGGGACCATGTCACATAGCATTCAAGCCATTAGGGCTCCGGGGCGCGAAGGGCTCTCGTACTTGTTAAGGATGGCAATGGGCTTCTCCGGCCACACCCCCGGAGCCCTGTCCCGGGAAGGGAAACTCCAGGGGTGAAGATCCTAGGCAAGAGCTGGGTATCTATGCGATCTGGAAGGCGCCAGGACTCCGCGCTGACCCCCGGGGCCGCCGGACAGTGCCAGCCCGGGGGTCACTCCCACTCCACTCGCTCCGAGCTCCCGCGCTCCTGCCCTCCCCACCCTCAACGCGCGCCTCCAAGACTTCAGGCTCGGTGGGTACCCGCCTCCGGCCTCCCAGCCCAGGTAAGAGTTTCGTGGCGGCCATTCCGCCCCCTCCAGCCCGGCCCCGACACAGCTCAGCCGTACCCACCCTGGCTTCTCACGGCTGAAGCACGCAGCGACGCAACAGCCGCCCCGCCCCTCTCCCCCTTCGCCGCTCTCGGCACCATAGAGCCCCCGGCCGCCGGCCAGAGCGGCTCCGGCCCGCAATATCGGCCGAGAGGACGCCGGGATACTGGCTCGGCTCCGAGTTGAAAGGGAGCGACGCCTGTGTGCTCTTTGGTTGAATGGGTAGATATCTTGAGTTGCCCCTCTCCCTCCCTAAAAGGAGACTCTGGGGACGACCGAGTGAAAAGAGAAAAGTGCCCTGTTGGTTTCCTTCTGTCAAACCTGAGGATTCGTTTCTCGGCTTAGCCGGGGCCGTATCACAGACGCACGCGAGTGGCGACCGGAAAGCTAGAGACGGAGAAAGGGCCCTACCGAACGCCGGACGCACAGGACTTACTCCCAGACGATTGAGCTAGGAGCCCCGGGCCGTCACGGGTCTCGAAGGTGAAAAGATATTTCCAACTTCCCCAAGTAGATCCTTCAGGGTGGGCGACGGAGAGCTTTTCGCGAGGCGGAGGGACCGCGCGACCTCACGGACCTGACGCTTTTCAGTAGCGCTTTACCTCCCCCTTGGGGATTCCTTGATAACTGCTTGCCGCCACACGGACGGATGCTGGGGGCTATTCTGTCTTGTGAACAGCGGTGACACGGCTAGAACGTTTAATAACGACTCCTAAATGCCCAGGACTCGAAAAAGCAACTGCTTACGGGGTAGCTTGACCTCAATTGACCACACTCACAAGATACAGTTTCTTTACTGGGACTGTCGCCAGGTCCCGTCCTATCTCCCTGCGTCAGAGTGGTAGGTCTGTCTTAGCACCAAGGAAACATCTAGTTTGACATTAGACGCTAGGAAGCACTGGCCCAAAAGAAGAGGAACATTCTTTCCCTTTCTACCTACAGTTTCTCAAAACAAGTGCAGAGGGAAAGCAAGGGAAGAAGTAGGATTATATTACGTAGTTGAAAGAGGCCATAAAAAATTGGAATCTTCAATCTCAAGCAAACAGAGACGAGGCCCCTAACAGAACCTCAACATTTCTTATAGACTTTTTCATTACTTGTCACACAGTTGGCTCGTAGCCAATGGCAAAGATTCAACTGGGGATAGGTATATACATTTTAACGCCCACATAGTTTAAAAGGTAATTAAAAATATCAGTCACCAAATATATTTACGATTTTGAGTGCTTTTAGTCATGTTAAGGGCAATTTTTTCTGTCAATGCAGTAATAATTTGGCATTACTCTATGGCAGCATGGTACATGTCTTACAGTCTAGGCCTTATGGAACTATTGAGGTGTTGTGAGGCACCCTCCCCCAGGAAATGCACTTACACGCCACTCATGCACAAAAGGGCAGTTTATTCACTCCAGCTGGCCAGCATCCATCTCCCAAGGAGCAAGCAAGGAAGAACAGCAATTGAGCCTTGGTCTTGTGGGGTTTTTAAAGGCAAAAATTACATCCCATTGGCACACGGGTTTGTCCAGGTGCACGAAGCAAGCTAGGGAGCTAGGTCACAGAGACGGAGAATGAGCTGTTCGAGCAATCAAGCATACAAGTTTTCATTGTGTATGATTCCTGTTCCCATGTAATAATTCACTGTGTATGGCTTCTGTTTCTATGCAATTGTTTTTGTTTCTATGAGGTTAACAGTTTCTCACGCAGAAGGGGGGGGTAGTCTGGTCAGACGGGGCAAAATGGAGTTACTTAGGTTAAGCAAGGAATTCTACAGAAGCAGATAGCGTACGTTATGAGGGTGTAGGGAGTTCTATTACAGAGGGACAACATAGATGGCTTCCTGAAAACCAAAACAGAACAAAATTGTTAGTTCTTTTCTCTGGGTCAGTTTACTGCCTAAACTCATGGATTCATTATATAACACAGCTCTGTGTGCCAGGCAGTAGTAACAGGCTACAAAATGACTATGGAGCTCAAGTTCTAGTGGGGAATATAGACCACAAGGTAACAAGCTGGAGAGATGTTGATAAGTACTGTAAAGAAAATATATAGGGTGATGTTATAGAGAGTTGGGAGAGGCTAACTTTAGTTAGGCAGTCAGGTAAGGCCCTCTGAGAAAATGATACTTGGGCTGAGTCCTGAAATGTGAAGGAACCCAGTGTAAAAGGAACTAAAATGAGGATATTGAGCCCATTCAACTCACTGACATTATCACTCCTGATCTACTACACTTCTTTTCTCTCCATATTTCTCCTTGTTTCAGCAGCTGCTTCTTCCCATTTATGAGAACAGCCTGGTCTTTTACAGAAATCAGAAAATTAGAACATTTCTGGTTGTATTTTGTATAATCTTGAAGTCTTTTTAGATGGTTTTGTTTTTTTCCTAATAGACAAGGTTGTAATAAATAACACTTTTGGTGAGCTCATTTCTTTTAATTTCACACACTTTGCAGCATAAATCTTTTCATATGTTCAAAAGAAATGGAAGTATCTGGTTCATGAGACCATTTAGATAAAATTTAGTCTTTACTGAAGTGCTTACAATATTAGATATTTTTTAAAGACGAGGTCTAGTTCTCATCTTATTTTATTGAAAAATACTTGAAGAGACTAAATAGCAAATGACCAAATGTACAATTCTGCATGTTAAAAAAAAAGAAAAAAACTTGAAGATTAATAGTGAATGCTCCACAAGATAAACATAACAACTTTATAACTTTATTTTTTATTTTTATTTTTTTTAAAAGATGACCGGTAAGGGGATCTTAACCCTTGACTTGGTGTTGTCAGCACCACGCTCACCCAGTGAGCAACCAGCCATCCCTATATGGGATCCGAACCTGTGGCCTTGGTGTTATCAGCACCACACTCTCCCGAGTGAGCCACAGGCCGGCCCCAACTTTATAACTTTATAAAATCTTTTCTCACTAATCTGAAATAAGAATTAAATGAAATAGTTAAAAATTTCAAAATAGTTCTTTATTAATAAAATATATCTTTAAAAAATTTACAAGTTAGGTAAAATGTCTCCAAAGTTCAATGTCAATTCTCATACAATATTGTGCAGAAGTAATATATGCCATTCTTGGCTTACTAGTAATTTTATACCAGTCACTTGAAACAACATCCTTAAAATTTAATAATATATTGTAACAATTCCATGTTCACTTTTTAGAGTTTGATAGAAGACAGTCAATATCCTGAAGGATTTCAGAGGTTTTTTTCAGTGCTACTGATACTCTCTTTTCATTAACTTCTTCTAGCAAGATTTCTGAAGATCTTGGTTTATAATGATCAGAAGACTGTTCGTTTTTCTTCTTAGAAATCTGGTTTAGAATACCACTATTCTCCAATAGCACTGAGTTGCTTAGTTAAGGAGCTTTTCCCCATATATTTCATTATATAAACATTTTTATTTTCAGAAATCCTGGCCTTCATAATAAAATATTTCTCAATTGGGAGGAAGATTTCTTTTGATCCATAATAGAGTTGGAAATTCAGAGCTTATCAAGTCAACACCTTATAGATGAGGAAATTAGTTTACAGTATAAGGAAGGGGGAAGGAGAGCGTATGTATGTGAGTGTTTGGATGGAGGTTTGGTGGTAGGGAAGAAGTAAAAGAATTAAAATCTCAGTATATTAGTCCATTTCTATTGCTCATAACAGAAAAACCTGAAACTGGGTAATTTATAAGAAAACAAAATTTATTGCTTACAGTTTCAGAGGCTGGTAAGTCCAGAATCCATGGAACACATCTAGTAATTCAGGGTATCACATGGTGAGAATGGTAGAGCAGAGCGTTAACTCCTCACCCTTCTCCTTTTAAAGCCCCCAGAACTACACCGATGACCACCATTAAATTATCAATGGATGAATACATTCACCAGGGCACAGTCCTCACAATCTAATCACCTCTTCAAAGCCCCACCTTTCAATGATCATAATAGGATTTCCCATCCTCAACAGTTATAGTGGGAATTAAGCTTTGATGAGTTTGGGGGGACATTTAATCCACAGCACTCAGTAACATTTCCTTGAGTGAAGAAGTGATATAGAAATACAAAGGAATAAGAGTGGGGATAATAGGATTATAAATAATCAGTGTTGTGTCTTTTTAACTTTTCTTTTTTGGGTAGCTGGCTGGTTCAGGGATCTGAACCCTAGACTTTGGTATTTTTTTTTAATTTAAAAAGGGTCTAGAATGAAAAGAAACATGTCCTCTGTTGAATAAAATTTATTTGAATAAACTTACAGAAAAATCACAAGAGAAAACAAATTTAAATGAATGGGGTGAGAATGTACAGAACAAAAGCTTTCAAAACAAAAATAAGTCACAGATAGGTCTTGAACAGTGGTAAGTTAGAATATACTCAAATAAGTGAAGAAGTCTCCAAAAGACCTTAGCCCTACTTTACTGTTCTTTGCCCAATTTAAACCTAAAGAAAAGTATACATAAATGTTAATATGATGTACCCTCTATAGACAAGACATATCTTAAGTCATAATCTTAAATATCTGCTGACTCAATAAAGCTCAGCAACATATAAGTGTGGATTAATATTAATAAAGTACAGAGTCATGAATTAAGCCCAGAATGAAAAAGGAGTAATTTATGCAGATAATACATTCATTCTGTTTAAAGGATACAGTTGAACTTCTGTATCTTTTCAAGTTCAGAAGCAACAGACCTGTGCAAGAAAAAAAAAAGTTCATCTAGTTGTATGATTATTTTATATTCATGAAATTGCAAATAAGCATATTTGACTTTTTTCAGAAAGATTAGAATTTTAAGTAGAAGAACCTAGAAGTTAAGAATTTTCTTTATATTAGCTTTATTTAGCAGCAAATCAACTTGACTCAACTGATATTTGTTGAATGCTTTTAAAGGCAAGTGAATAAAAGTCCTACCTCAAGGACTTTGTAATCAAGTATTGATGTTTGAAGGTAATGGTCCTTCCTGCTATTTCTTTGTACTAATCTGGCAGGCCCTCTACTTTCTTTCCTAAAGTTTACTTAAACATTAAAAACCTACTGAAATTCCATCCCTTCTGTGAAAGAAGTGACTCTTTTTGTTGTTTTGACTTTTTGGTGGCTGGCCAGTACCAGGATCCAAACTGTTGACCTTGGTGTTATCAACACCATACTCTAACCAACTAAACAAACTGGCAAGCCCAAGATGTGATCTCTTCTTCCTTGATTTCCCATAGCATTATGTTAATTATGTACAGTCTTCTCTTGAACTGTTAAACTTTCTGATCCTTCTACCTAGATTGTCTCTCTCAGAAGAAAGGATCTTTTCCTATTTTTCTGTACATTGCACATATAGAAAGACCTCATTTATATGGAACTCTTAGGGCATGGATGGTTTGGGAGGTCCAAGTTTTTACATAGTTGAATTAGTTGTCAAAATATAATAACTTTTTTTATTAAATTCCTTCTGGAATAGAATCCCTACCAATTTCATTGTTTTCTTAAGCACAAAGCATTAACATTATGTACATTAGCCCTTAACATGTTCTACAGAGGGCTGAGCCCATGGCGCACTCAGGAGAGTGCGGCGCTGGGAGCGCAATAGCGCTCCCGCTGCGGGTTTGGATCCTATATAGGAATGGCCGGGGCGCACGGTGCGGCTGGTCTCACAAAAAGACAAAAAACAAAAAAACAAAAAAAAAGCATGTTCTACAGAAAGAGATATTGAGGCAACTAGTATGAAGTAGAGGGCAGAATGTATACAACTCCAGCAGAACCCCTTACACGTGTGTTATCTTTTTTCTCATCAAGCTAGAATAAACTATGAGCAGTGGCATGCAACTACAAATGGTGTAACTTTACTAGCTCTCTGCAAAATTAATGAGAACATTAGTCTAAAACATGACATTATTCAAGTTACTAGAAAAGTCTAAAGTTCATAATAGGGTATACAACTTGTCTGTTTCACTGGCTTTACTACAAGGGACCACATGTACCTCCCTGTCAGCTTGCACTCTTTTGTGGATGGGGAATGAAAGAGATCTTTCATCATTTTAGGCATCTGTGGTAAAGAACTTAAATATCACTTACTCCAAATCCTGATTCTTCGTTGCAAAACGCCTTTTTTTAACACAAGATGCAATTTTCTGGGAATAAGCAGCAGTGCAATCTTAGCTGCTATCACCAATCAGCACTTTCACTTTTTAGTATGTCTTGACAGTTATCCTCCTCTCAGCTTGCACACAAACAGGCTGGCATTTTATAAACTTTGCCCCCTCAGCAATGGTACAGTGACCAGATTTATAGCCATGTACAATTTCCCTTTCTTCCCAAGTGTTTTTTTGCTAGCTAGTCAGGTAACTTTTCTGCTCCCAGACAGGCTATAGCTGAAGAATGAGAGATCTAGAAAGCTGGATCCATAGATACTTGAGATATTCAGATAACACCTACTGATTTGATTTGATTTGTTCTTTTTTTTTTTTTCTCCTTTTTGTCTTTTTTCGTGACCGGCAACGGATCGCAACCCTCAGTGTCGTGCCCGCACCGGACCGGGACCGGCAACGGGATCGCAACCCTTGGTGCTGTGCCCGCCCCTCGCTCAGCCAGTGAGCGGGAACCGGTCTGCATGTGGGATCCGAACCCTCGGCGGGATCCCAAGCGGCACACTGTAGCGGTGCGCCACCGGGCCGGCCTGATTTGATTTGTTCTAAGAAGTAATTTACGAAAGGTGATAAGAATCAGGCTTAATGTTTACATTTTTTTCCATCACGCTATACTAGGTCACCTCACAACTTACTTTAAAAGCTTCCTAAATTGTTTCTGGTATCCTTCTTTTCCAATATATTCAAATTATACTCTCAGTGATAATAATCTTCCTAATAACCTTTCTTCTTGTCATTGTTCCATTTATGAACTTGTAATTCCATCAAATCTGAACTCCTCTATTTAAGTTCCATTCCTGTCCATCAAAACTTACATTGTATCCTAACAGATAGCATCTGCTCCATAAAAACTATCTTCTCACTATCTCCACATGGCAAAATGTCCTTTTTAACCTTTGCCCTTGCTTCCTACCTAAAATGTCTTATTTTTCCCTAAATTTTCCTTTGAAGCCCAGTTCTAGTCGCCTGCAGAGTAAAAAGCACACGGGAGGGACTAAAATATTTATTTGCTGGTTTGCCAATTAATTTAAGGGAAGTAATTAATATGATTATTTAAAATTATTTAAAAATCAACTTTTTCTGAAAGTTTATTATGTTAGTCAACATTTTATTTTAATATTACTAAAATTTTAGGCTGGCTGGTTAGTTCAGCTGATTGATTAGAACACAGCCTCATAAAATCAAGGTCATGGGTTCAGATCCCTGTACCAGCCAACCCCCCACTCCCTGACAAAAAAAGTTTAGTAATCCCATTTAAATTTTTCCATAAAGTTTTCAGGATGAATTTATCACATAAAAAGAGTCATTCCTTTTGATGCGAAGTTCTCAATGCAAAGTTTTCTGACCTTCAGATGAAATATAATAAGTTAGATGTCTTCTTAGAAATTATTTTCAAGCTTAAGCTATCTAAAATATTATAGGAGTTAAATATATTTAAAACTAAGAAAATGTTCTAGGGAAAAAAGCCTCAAAGTTTGCCATTTGATATTTTAATTTTTAAGCATTAGTTGATTCTTCTACACAGATTAAGTTTAAAAGAAATAGAAATACCAGTTTTCTTCGAGAACAGAAGATGAAGGATGTGTGAGCATCTCTCTTGGACTAGCCTGGGTCAGTCTTCTGCACCATGATGTTACTGTTGTCACATATCTGGAGTGAACACATTAAAATAAATACTTAAAAAATGAACTTGTATATATTATAAAAGTATGGAAAAATCATTAGGACAATTTGGAGAAAACAGATAAAAAATTTTTTAAGTGAGGTATTTACTGAGCAATATCCTAAATCTTTTTCAGTAGACACGGAAAAGGCAAGTTTCTTCCCACTATTCATCAAGAATAAAATGATTTACTCACATTAGTTATATACTATAAAGCATATGTACTTCACAGGACCTGGTTTTCCAAAGCCTTGCAGTTTCAAATACTGACCTTGCGGAGGACTGGAAGTTTTCCTCAGGCTATAAAGTCTCTGGTGTGGCACAGCAAGGTTGCTGGTTCAAGGACAGACTAGTTACTGATTGTTATGTAAAGATACTGAGAAATTGCTGTAAGATCACTTAATTGTCCTCTGGAATGTCATCTGGCTTGTGTCACTGAAAGTTACCAACCTATATTGTTAAACTATAATCCCACCTATGTTCTCTTCCTGTAACTTCCTGGTCTGGAAAATAAATGCAGGAAGAGAACCCCAATTTGGGATTAATTTCCCAAGGAAGGGTTGCCTCTTGCTTGAGCATTCCCAAGGGAAGTTAACCACTTCAGGGTCTCTCACTGCTCAGAAGAGATGGGCTTTGAGTAATCCTTTGCATCTCCATCACCCAGGGGAAGTGGGGTGACAAATCCGTGGGGGGGCAAAGCAACACAAAGCAACACATTAGTGATTAATAAAGATGACATTTAAGAATCAAAACAAAGGTGATGCCTGTATTTCATTTAAAGTTCAAATTCGAATGTTTAAATTTTCCTTTTAGTTTTTCAAAGTGAAATGAGTTTCATTAGCTTTATCATGAAAATGTTTTTATACATAATAGGATTCAGTGAGCATTTGCTTAATAAAATTTAAAGTAGAAAAAACCCAGTAATGCATACACATACAGTTATATACACACATATGTACATATGTATAGTAATACATAACTCACTAAATAGACAAAATAAGCATCAAGTTTAATAAAATGAATGATATGAAATGATTGACTGAAACAAACAATAGTATTTGCTAAAGATACTATCTTCTTGAGACAAATTATTCAAAATAGCATTGAACTTTTGAGTATTTAGACCAAAAAGCAGTAAAGCCCAACAGAAAAATAAATTCAAGAGGTAAAACAATTCTTTGGTGAACATTCTCAAGTAAATTCACTAAAATGTCAAGACTATCACAAGTTGAATTACTATAACTAATAACAAATTATGTAAACCAAAAGAGAAAAAGTATATTCATGAAAAGCTGATTTCAAGAATCGTCCCCATGTTAAGAATAATCATCAGCTGATATAATTTTTTCCATTTTATAGAAATACATACAATTTTAGTTATTTGTGGTTGCAAAACTTATTTCAAATTTGTTAGAGGTTTAGTTAATTGGCTAACACAGATGACAACAGTCCAATCTCCACAGCAAACCCGTTACGTCTATAACATATTTCATATTGAAAAATCACTTGAATACAAATGCAAATGATTAAAGCTGACCTATCTTTATAGTTATGCTAAATGGCAATACTACCTTGAAACCTGCTGAAATGACTTCATTCACATTGTCCACATGGAAAAACTAAAACATTTAAGTAATGTTTATATGCTTTCTGTCAATTAGAAATAAAACTTAAAAATAACTTTAAAATTGTTTCTCAGTACCTTTCATATGGTCCAGGGTGTTCAATTTGAATTAACTGATCTTGTCCATCAGGAAAAGTTAACTTACACCAACCGAAGTTGAGACTTTGATTTACCTTAAGAAACAAGGAGGAAGGGTAAGTTTTATTTTTCTAAAACTGAAAACATAAACAATCTCTTCTAACTTCATTATCAATTTAAAAAAATAAGTAGATGAATCATTAAAAATTTACTTTGACAATTTAAACGTTATATTTTAAATGGGAAGGGGGTATTATTTAACCACCATTCATATAGATAATTATCAAAGAAAAAAATACTAATCACTCTCTCTATAATGAGTTGTCTTTACAAACCTAACTATTTGTCACACGTTGTGGAACAGTAAGGTCTCTTGACAGATTTTATAAATTGAGATAGTGTGATACTTTATTTTCTTTGTTCTGTTTCCCATAGATAAATAACTCATAACAAATAGATTGCAGTGTGAAGTATACTCACCTGTCTGTTTTCAGTAGAAGAGCTGAAATTCCAATTTAGGGTTAGAGTAATGCCATCTAAAAAGATAGCATGTACTTTGTTATCAGAGTAGGCAAGAAATCTTCCCACGCTGGGTATGAGTGATTCTTTCAAAAGAAAAGGCAGTATATTGCTATCATTTATCCTAGGTACCTAAAACCAAGTAAATAAAAATAGCAGGAAATAAGGTTATCCATTAACAAGACTTAAATAAATATTAGTGAACTCTGAGGCAACTTCAGATTATTATTCAGAAGTTGAATATTGTAGAATCCTTATATGTTTTAACTTTTCCAGAAGTAGATACCCCAAAACAGTCCATTTATAAGCAGATTAAGATCTAATATCTTTGTAAAGTCACCATTCTGCTCTGAACCTTAAACAGAATATAGACAAAACTTAGGAACTACAGCAACATATAGGTTTGCAATTAAATTAGTATAGATACAGAAATCAAAGTCAGAATCATTTTCTCCAAACCAGCATTAAAAAACTTACTCTTAGGGCTAGCCCATGGCTCACTTGGGAAAGTGTGGTGCTGATAACAGCAACTCAAGGGTTAAGATCCCCTTACCGGTCATCTTTTTAAAATAAATAAATAAATTTAAAACATGGCTCACTTGGGAAAGTGTGGTGCTGATAACAGCAACTCAAGGGTTAAGATCCCCTTACTGGTCATCTTTTTAAAATAAATAAATAAATTTAAAAAAAAAAAACCTACTTTTACAATTATAAAAATATAGAATGCTGTAATATGGTTTATAATGACTACATTTTTACATACTTCAAATCCAATGAATTCCCCTGTCCTTCACCCTCCATTAAAAATAAAAACTATAGGGCCGGCCCGTGGCTCACTCAGTTGAGTGTGGTTCTGATAACGCCAAGGCCACGGGTTCGGATCCCATATAGGGATGGCCGGTTAGCTCACTGGGTGAGTGTGGTGCTGACAACACCAAGTCAAGGGTTAAGATCCCCTTACCGGTCATCTTTTTTAAAAAAAATAAATAAATAAAAACTATATATAATAAAAGTATAACATAAAATCCTGAGTTTTCACTATCTATAGGTAGGTCTTTTTCTGAATAAACCAATTCTTAAACCAATTTATCACATAACTGAGATGAAAGCAGTTTGTACTTAAAAGCATAGATACAAACAATAAAACAATTAGAAAATATCTTGTTTGGAATTAATTTTAACATACCATTTTCCAGCAGCATATACGATAGTTATGGCTTAAAGAAAGCCTCACCTTGGCACAATGTTGAAGAATTCTGTGAAAATGAAAACCACTACTTAAGCATTTGCAAATAATGACTTTTTCCAATTCTAGCAATACAGTCCCAATGTCATACAACATTTTAGATGGAAAGTAATTCATTTCTACTGGAATGTGTTGGTTACTCTTTCAGTAATCCTTAAGCCACTGGAAGGGAACTACTATTGCTTCTCTTTGGGCTAATATTACCTACTTAAGGCTATTCCTCTCATTTTTAGCAATGAAATGACTCCATGGAGAGAATTTTCAGGTGCACTTTTTTTTTTCCTTTTTGTCTTTTTTCGTGTCCGGCAACGGATCACAACCCTCAGTGTTGCACCCGTACTGGACCGGGACTGGCAACAGGATCGGGAACCCTCGGACGGGAGCGCTGCCGCGCTTCCCAAGCGGCGCACCATCCAGTGTGCCACCGGGCCGGCCCTACCGGTCATCTTTTTTAAAAAAAATAAATAAATAAAAACTATATATAATAAAAGTATAACATAAAATCCTGAGTTTTCACTATCTATAGGTAGGTCTTTTTCTGAATAAACCAATTCTTAAACCAATTTATCACATAACTGAGATGAAAGCAGTTTGTACTTAAAAGCATAGATACAAACAATAAAACAATTAGAAAATATCTTGTTTGGAATTAATTTTAACATACCATTTTCCAGCAGCATATACGATAGTTATGGCTTAAAGAAAGCCTCACCTTGGCACAATGTTGAAGAATTCTGTGAAAATGAAAACCACTACTCAAGCATTTGCAAATAATGACTTTTTCCAATTCTAGCAATACAGTCCCAATGTCATACAACATTTTAGATGGAAAGTAATTCATTTCTACTGGAATGTGTTGGTTACTCTTTCAGTAATCCTTAAGCCACTGGAAGGGAACTACTATTGCTTCTCTTTGGGCTAATATTACCTACTTAAGGCTATTCCTCTCATTTTTAGCAATGAAATGACTCCATGGAGAGAATTTTCAGGTGCACTTTTTTTTTTNCGACCCCTCGGCGGGAGCGCCACCGCGCTCCCAAGCGGCGCACTGTAGCAGTGCGCCACTGCCGGCCCTTCAGGTGCACATTTTTAAGGGGTGATAGATTCATAGCGCCTGGAAGATTTAGCATAGCCTAAAGTGGTGGAGATGTGAATCAACTAACCCTATGAAATCAAATTACAAATTCTGCTCCTTCATATCTATTTTGAAGTTGGTGCGTGGCCAGATCGTGGCCCGGTGGACTCCCGCTTGCCGTGGGTCGGCGTCTTGTCTCAAGAAGTCTGCGTTCCACGCAGGCAACAGCCGGGTCCCCTGGAGCCTGTGTACCCGGCGCCTCAGACCTCAGGAGGCTCTGCCCGCCGCTGGGGATCCGGCCTTGACTGTGCATCCAGCTTCGCTCTCCCTTTTCCCCGGGAAGGAAGGAGGGGGTGTCTGGGAGACCTCACCCCCAACCTAGGCAGGTCTTCACGAATGAGTAGAAGTACAGCAGGCAGGCCCTGGCAGAGGAGCAAAGGAGAAATAGAGGCCTAGAAAACTCCTACACAGACCTGAAGTTAGTGGCCCACCCCCGCGCCAAGTGCAAGGTGTGGAAGTACTTCTGTTCCAACACCAACGCGGAAGGATGCATCTAGCAGTGGAAGAAAATGTACTGCCACTGTGCACGGCCCAGATTGCCTACTCTGGAAATACTTCCAACCTCTCCTACCACCCGGAGAAGAATCACCTCAAGGAATTCTGCGAGTTCGTCAAGAGCAACACCGAGTAGAGGAGTGAAGCCTTCGCCACTGCCTTCTCCAAACTGAAGTGTCCAGTAGCCTGCGCAGGACGCACTCCAGGTGAAGGCGGGCCATCGGGCGGCTTCGAGAGCAGCAGGAGCTTGCAGCCGCCATCCTCTGCCTCGTCTGCGAGGGGCTGCTTCCATCGTGGACGGGCCCACCTTCGAGGTGCTGCTGAAGACAGCCAACCCCACGTACGAGCTTGCGAGAAGGCAGTAAATCTCCACCAAGGCCATACTTGAGTACGGAGCACTCTGGGAGGCGGTGCTGGAAGGAGCTGGCCGATGCCTCTTGTTGTGGCATCTCCACAGACATGTGGAGGAGGGAGAACCAGAACCGGGCCTATGTGACCCTGTCCGTCCACTTCGTCGATGTCGGCTCCCCGAACTGCCTGTCTGTGGACTCCAGGTGCCCGAAGATGTTCGAGGTGCCCAAAGATATTCGAGGTGCCTGAGGAGAACAGGGTGGAAACCATCACGTGGGTGCTGTACGAGATCTTCACCTAATGAGGCATCAGTGCTATCGTCTTCAGAGCTACCAGTGACTACGGCAAGGACATCATGAATGCATGGACTCCAGGTGCCCGAAGATGTTCGAGGTGCCCAAAGATATTCGAGGTGCCTGAGGAGAAGAGGGCGGAAACCATCACGTGGGTGCTGTACGAGATCTTCACCGAATGAGGCATCAGTGCTATCGTCTTCAGAGCTACCAGTGACTACGGCAAGGACATCATGAATGCATGTTCCTTGTTGGACATAGCCCTTCAGATGCTGTGCCTGGGGCAGACCTTCAAAGCCAGCATCCAGCAGGCTTTCCAGCTGCTGAGGCTGGGCAGTCTGCTCGCCCTGTGCTACAAACTGGTGGATGACTTCCAGCAGTCCACTATGTCCATGTAATGCTGTAGGAGAAGCAGAAATGGCAGAACATAGCCCACTGCATGCTGGTGAGCAACCACATGTCCTGCCGCAAATCAAGAAACAACAGTTCCTCATAATCAGCGTTCTGGTGGAGGACAGCAACAACCATCACCTGATGCTGGAGGCCACTGAGTGGACCACCACTGAGGGGCTGGTGGACCTCCTGCAGCCCTTCAAGCAAGTGGCTGAGATGTTACCTGCCTCCAAATACCCGACCATCAGCATGGTCAAGCCCCTTCTACACATGCTGGTCAACACCACACTCAAAATCAAGGAGACTAACTCCAAGGAGATAAGGATGGCCAAAGAAGTGATCACAAAGGAGCTCTCTCGCTAAGACCTACCAGGAGATGCCCAAGATTAACATGTTTCTGAATATGGCTACCTTCCTGGACCCCCACTACAAAAGGCTTCCCTTCCTGTCTGCATTCGAGCTGCAGCAGGTGGAGAACTACGTGATGGAAGAAGCCAAAGGCCTCCTGGACAAGGTCAAGGATGGCAACTACACACCAGCCGAGGACAAGATTCACCCTTTGCCTGAAGAGCCCTTGGTCAAAAAGCACATGCAGACATCCACATTTCCTCCCATCAGTGTAATCATCAACATGGTGGCCAAGATCTTCTGCCAGACAGGTGGCGTGGAGGACCAGGAGAAATGGTACACCCAGGTGGTGGAGGAGCTGAGCAACTTCAAGTTCCAGAAGGTGCTGGGCCTCAACGAAGACCCCTTCAAGTGATGGTCTGACCACCTGGCACTCTGCCCAGTGCTGCCCATGATCCTGCAGAAGTACTGGTGCATGGCAGCCACCTGTGTCTTCCCCAAGTATCTCTTTGGATCCTCAGCCAACGTGGTAAGTGCCAAGAACTGACTGGTCCCTGCATACGTGGATGAGCAGACATTTCTGTATGAGAATTTGCAGAGCCAGTGGAGGCCAAGCCTGCAGATGAGGACAAGGGACAGTGTGGATTGGACCAGGAGCAGGTGTCTCATCTTAGGAGTGGGTGAAGGGTTGGATGCTTTGCTGTAAATATGGACCTGTCTTGGTTCTGCACCTCAAAGACTGTCCTCAGCCTTTGAAACCAAGAGGGAAAAAAGACAGAGATGTGACTGTGGTTTCCTGAATGAAGCAAAATGATGTTTCTCTGAGAATTGACCTTCCCCTCTCTGTCCCCTTATCCTTCAGAGAAAGGGAAACAAACTTCCTCAATTAGCTCTGCATGTAGGGCCTGCCTGGGAATTAAATTCCCAACAGAAGCAGAGCTGGAAAGATGTCTTGCTACACAGATACAACCTCCCACTCAATTTACAGTCTCCCTGGGAGGATTTTGAATCAATCTAAGAAAAAGCCATATGTTTGGGTGGAAGAGAAAGAGCCTTTCCCAGGTACTATCCCTGTGACTTTAGTGATCTGAGGATGAAAGGAATTCAAGTTTACATTTTAACTTAAGCAGGAACCTTGCTTCTGGAAAACTTGGAAGAGATTATGTAGCCAAAATGCCCTTCTCCAAAAGAGACAAGTTTTAGGTTTGGTGAAGTGTTAAAAATGAGCATAAAATGTAGGCACTTATAAAAAAGCCACACACAAAAAAAAGAAAGTTGCTTAGACAAGTTTATAAAAGTAAATAATTCGACAATCCACTTTCATTCTTCTGGGTGCCATAGATTAATGAAGAGAATTTTTTTTTTTTTTTCCTTTTTTTGTCTTTTTTCGTGACCGGCAACGGATTGCAACCCTCAGTGTCGCGCCCGTACCGGACCAGGACCGGCCACGGGATGGCAACCCTCGGTGTTGCTCCCGCCCCTCGCTCAGCCAGTGAGCGGCCGGTCTGTATGTGGGATCCGAACCCTCGGCGGGAGCGCCACCGCGCTTCCTAAGCGGCACACTATAGCAGTGCGCCACCGGGCCGGCCCAATGAAGAGAATTTTAAAAACATATGAACCAAAGAACCAAACTAAACTTCATCTTTAGTGCACTCTCAGAAATCTTTATTATTCTAAGAATGATGAAATGTGACAATTTCAAATGTATCGTCAAATCCCTAACTTGCTTTCAAAGAAGAATAATGATGCCACACTTACCCAGAGAAAAGGCACTTATTTCCTCTCACCATTATGGATGTTTCTCTATATTTAAATTTCAAAGCTAGAAATACTCTTCTAATGATATAGAAATTGCCTTATTTTATAAACAAGACCCAAAAGTTGGAAGATTTTACCAAAGACATAAATTTCCATTGTAACTGCTAATTCTTAATCTCACCCTTAACCCCAAGAACATGTATCAAGGTTCTCAGACACATAACACTTGATTCAGTCCAA